TAACAATGTTCTTTATCATTGCCGGTACAAAGTTTTGTACAACGAAAGAAGAGAATTGGCAAGTTAATTTTGACATGAAAACCGCCGGATAGACATTACTTATATGATCGCTTTTTAACTATATCGGCGCTGATAAAAAGCGCGGCAAAACCACTCACGGCAATACGCCTCGAGCAACTCTTAGGCATCTTTCGTGCTCTCCAAACTTCCCGCGTGCTTCATATCTCGATGAACGCACGCTGACGTATGAACCAATCGTTAATTGTTGTCTGTTCTATTTAGTATTCACATGAATAAAACAGGCAAACCTTAAAGTTTAGAAATGACATGTCATATATTCTTCCATGTTATTGGTTTGTTGAGGAACTTAGTTCCTAAAGAACAAAGTTGATATTACAAACCAAATATGATTGGTTGACAGAGGAACTTAGTTCCCAAAGACCTCATGAAAATTGTATTTGAGATCTGACTGGCTCATTCAGGAACTAAGTTACCTTTAATGTCGAGTACATTTTGAAATGTTGATGTACACAAGTCAAAACAGTCTCCCCCGGTAATGTTGCTCTTCCGATAAGTTTTTAGACTGGTTTATGTTGCTTATCATAACATAGCTTGTAAGAGTCGTGCAATCAAACTCAATCATCRCGCGAGCGTGCTTCCCACTGATTCATGCTAGTGATGTCAAATGCCTCACGACACTTTGTTTTTCACGCGAGTGACTTCGGCATTTTTCATTAAAAACCAGCTAAAACTTCCGTAAAAATGTTAGACTAGACATGGCAACAAGCGAATAAGCCGATAAAGATCTGCCTAATTTTCCTTTGGGAATGGTTAAGTTCATTTCCACGCATGAATACACCTGTCAGTTTTTGACCAATCTGAGACGAGATCATTGAAGTGTAGCAAAATACTTTTCCGTAACAAAATGAACAACGCATTTGAATCGTAGGAGAGGCAATTTCTGCCCTTTATACATACACTACAGCGTTGAAAATGTTAGAAAACGATCGGTTGAGTTAGAAATGTCACCCGGTATTTGTAATCTACAATATCGGTTAAACAGATTCTCTCGCATCGTGCAAGCGAAGAATGGTGGATTTGAAGTTAAATGACAAAAAACAAAACGGCAGACAATTTGAATCAAATATCTGACGACGAAGAGTCAGAATGGCTGGCGAATATAGATCCAAGTTTACCAGATGAATCAAACAAAGAAGAACAGCTCGATGTCCAGGAAATTTCTTCCTTTAATTCATTGAAGAAAATAGAAACAGCAACAAAACAACGCATCAGTTTGGTACTGCTTCGCATACTTCTGTCACGCATTCCCCGTAAATAAATATCCGCGAAATTCACCCGCACTGAACAACATAGATAACAGTTTGGCGTGTTGCATAATAAATAACTTATTGGCCGTTTTTTTGCATAGTATCGCTGAGTATTTTTACTCCTTTTTTTGTATTTTCACACGCCCTGCGGGCTCGTCAAATTACGGTACAACTTGTAAAAATACTTAGTGATACTACACAAGAAAACTTCTAATAAGATTATGTATTAGCACTGGTGAAAAGGGCAGCAAAACCATTGTGGCATTTTTTACAGAATTGTATAGTATCAGATGCCTTTTCGTTGCCGTGTAGACCATCGCGTATTCGACTCATTTCCAAAGTGTAACATTGTTGTCTGCTCTATTCAGTGTTGACATAAACAAAATAGGCAAACCTTAATTTAAAAATGTCATGTCATGTATTCTTCCATGTCATTGGTTTATTGAGGAACTTAGTTCCTAAAGAGCAAAGTCCATTTTGCAAACCAAATCTGATTGGTTGACACAGGAACTTAGTTCCCAGAGAACTCATTAAAAATGCATTTGAGATCTGATTGGCTCATTCAGGAACTAAGATACCTCAAATGTCAAGTACATTTTTAAATGGTGAAGTACAGTTTTAAATGGGGATGTGTTATAAATATTAATAATGTATCCC